CCTCTGCAGCATCTACAGAACCAGTCCCATTAACCTCTGCAGCATCTACAGAACCAGTCCCATTAACCTCTGCAGCATCTACAGAACCAGTTCCATTAATCTCTGCAGCATCTACAGAACCAGTCCCATTAACCTCTGCAGCATCTACAGAACCTGTCCCATTAACCTCTGCAGCATCTACAGAACCAGTCCCATTAACCTCTGCAGCATCTACAGAACCAGTCCCATTAACCTCTGCAATGAATTACTGTACTGTACATGTGCTATCTTCTCCATGTTTCTAGCTGGCTTGAGTCACACTTGCCTTCTGGCTGAAGGGCAGCTCACCGTAAATGGTGGATTATGACGTTCACTTTTGTAACAAAGTCCACAGCCAAGTACCTCCAATATCACTCCTTTAGCCTTAAGTCAAAGCTGGTTACATCTAATGTTGGATTGACTGATCCAATTTGGCAGAGCCTGAAAAAAAATTTTGTTGTGTAGAAACCACTTGACACTGTGCCCAGTATAAAGCTCCTGCTCAATGGCAACCTTGGTATTCCTTCTTTAAGGGAAATGGCAGTCATGGTAAGGGATCATATATCATTTAATTTTTAATACACCTGACCCTCGCTTTATGCTTTGGTTGTGTTCTGTGACAACACAGCATAATGGGAATCAGCACATAGTGAATACCGTATTTTACGGCATATAAGACGCACCCCCCATTTAGCAGGGAGTATGTAGGAACAATTTTTTTCTCCTGTATCCACAGTGTTCTTAAAACAATATATAAGTTACAACAAAAATTACTCTATTGCAAAACCAATAAATAAAAGCCAAATGAAAGGTTAAAACCCCCGCCATTTGCATATACAGTGGTCCCTTGGTTAACGAACACAATTCGTTCCAGAGTCGTTCGTTAACCGAATCCATTGTTTCAATGGGATATTGGGTAATTGGTTCAGCTCATCGAAAAGTACATACAAAGTAAAAAAAAAAAAAAAATGCAGTAAAGTACACTTTCTTTGAGGTGTGTATGTAGAAGGTTCCTGGTTGATGATGATGCATTAGAAGTGGGGATGGAGGAGAAGGAAGTGGGGATGGAGAAGAAATCACCTTTCAGGGGACCCATGCTTGATGCAGTAATTTCACTAATAAAATTTTACGTTCACTTGGTGTAATTCAAGATTATTTTCTTTAAATCAACACAGCACCGCACTATATATTGTCAATATGTAAAATAAACTTCAGAATGGCCAATAATTGTACTGTAAAAACATAAAAATAGTTTATGTTCAAGAGTCTCAACCAAGATGTTACCTCCACTGAGCAGACACAAAGTGATGCCATTTTGGGTGAGTCAAGTGGCTGTTTGGCGCATTAAAAACTAGTTCCCTGTACTTCAATTATGTCAAATAATTGTTAAAATGACTAAAAACTTTAATATAAGACTTGGAAAATTATTGAATAGTACAACCTTCTTGATATTTACTCAAATGGTAATGAATTTAAGCCCTATAACCGATTACTAATACTACAGCTGGTGAGCAGGTGAAAACATGTTGGGAAAATTTCGTAAGGAATTCGTTAACCGAAGTGAAGAATCTTATGGAAGGTAATTCGTTAATCGAGACGTTCATTAACCGAGGGATCACTGTATTATCAATATGTTAAATGTTAAAATGAGTAATAATTTTCACATAAAACATGCATAAATATTAAAGAGCACAACTTTCTTGATATTTACTCCACTGGAAACGAATGTAAACAGAACAGATTACTGAATTGGCAGACTAGCCCATCAGCTGATGCTCACAACAAAACACGACGTTCGCAAGGATTTCGTTAAATGAATTTTTGTTTGTTAACCGAATTGAAGATTCTTATGGAAGGTAATTCGTTAACCAAGGGACCACTGTACTGTTCTGTACTCCTTGTTTACCATAGCAACGGCGACACCCCCCCCCCCCAACTAAGCCAGCTAACTCGTGTACAAAGAAATGTATACGTATTCCTTTTATGCGATTGCCATGGGGACAATTATTTCTTTTTTCACAATACAGTAAGTATGTAAGATGGTGTGTGCATGTATATCAGTAAAAAATAGATGAAGAAAGTTACATATATCTACACGAAAATGTGAGTTGAAAAACAACAGCTTGGCTCAGTAGCCTGGTTTAACCTGGCTACAATACCACCAGCAATGTTAACGTATGTAAATGTGAAAAGAATGTTATCTGTAAATCTTCATTTGTATCAACTATTTGTAGATTGAAAAATATATGTTGCAGGTATGGCATTAACAGATTGGAATGCTTGTAAGAGTTCAGAAATGGTTACTGCTTAGCTACCTCTGAAGAGTTGGGCATCTGCTGTGCGGACATTAATTGTCTCAGGTTATCGTCATTGGTATAGTACAGAGTAATTACCGGTATAGATCGAACTTTAATATTTACAATAATTTTTTTTTTATTAATTAAAAATAATACTTATATTTTTAAGTAAGCAATAACATATTTTTAATTCTGGAGTTGGATTAGGTACAATTTAGCCTACTGGAGACAGCAACAGGGGGATTCATTAGCTTGCGGAAGACCACAAATTCACATATAGGACACAGGCCGACCTTTTTTGGCTATTTTTCAGACAAAAAGTGAGTTTTATAAGCCGTAAAATATGGTAGTTAATCTTAAGGGGGAAAATTAGGATATGTTCCACAACTACTAAGTCAACAGCAATGCTTTAAAAGTTGTGGAAAAATACTTACAATACTGTGACAGTGCTGCAGGTGCAGTGTTACCAAAGAAACCAGCAGATGCATCACCACTACTACTATTATCACCACCACCACTATCACCACCTAAATCATAATTTTAGAGATGCAAAAATGGATTTGCTTCAGCCAGAACAAAGGTGAATCATTTATAGGATCACTCCACAATTTATCTGATATGATACAGGGTAACCAGGTAACTACCTCAAACCCATGGCAGAATGCTGCCCACCTCATGGGTGCTTCACCAGCTTTAAGTGCACCTAAAATTTTTAGCTAAACAAAGGAAAAGTTAAAAGCAATATTACACACACAATTTATTATACAAATAAACAGTAGTAAATATATCACCAAGGGACCAAAGACATGTCAGGAGACCCATGTAAACAAATGTCTTAAAATGGACCAACATTGAAGTTTAAGCAAAACTACATTAATGTAAAGTTTCTTTTTATATATAGATAAAACAAAATTCAAAAAGCTTAGTTAGTTACCATAAGATTAAAAATATATTAACACAGGGCTGCAGGATCAACTATCACGGTGTAAGGGTAAAAATTAAACCTCTTTGCAGCTATTCTCTTTTCCCCATAAGAAAGTATTTAATACTTAGAAAAATCAGGTAAACATCTTCTATACAAATTTTATCTACAATTGAACAAATTTATGTACTGTGAAGCCATAGCTTTATTGATTTATAAATTAACTTTGTCTTTTAAATATTTTAAAAGTATGAGATATTATTACTCATTACATTAAATAAAAGCTTTTTCCAGGAATATTTAATATGCTGCAGTATGAAATGATGGAGATATCGTAATGGTACAGTCTTGTTAATGGCGGCAGGTCTTGGGAAGAAACCAAATTCTTAAATGAATTAGGATCAATCATCATAAGTCTTAGCAGCAGCTCTATTGTCACGGTTCTTGTTGCGGGCCATCTGGCGAGCCTTGCTGGCCGGGGACTCGTGGTTAGGTTTCTTCTGGTTACGTCGAGCCAGAGCTGCCATGTTGCGGTCTAGCTGCAGCGGTGGAGGGCCCAAGTTGAACATATCACGAACCTGAGGTAAAAAAACATTCGTGTAGAAAATAGAAAAGGTCTCTTATATGGCTGGAATTCTTGAATAAGGATGCTGTGTATACTTTCATATTCATCTCAACACTTTTGTGGGCAGATGACAAATATTTCTTCATCCAAAAAACTGAGTAATCTTTGACTTTCTCCTGTTCAGATATATCCTATGAAGTTCCCTAGTGCTGCTCTGTGGATTCTCCCTGTTTACATCGATGGCTCTAAGTCAGATGCAGGCGTGGGTGTTGGGGTAGTCTCTCCCAAACTCTGCCAGAATGTTAGTCTCCCAACTATGACATCTATTTTTACTTGCCTTCAAGATTATTTCTACCAAACCTCAGAGTGATTTACAATTTTTAGCGATTCTCGTGGTGTTCTTCAGGCCTTAGCTGGGGTCTCATTGCCACCTCTCTTAGTTATAGATATTTTACAGTGGCTGTTTTTCATCCAATGCCAGGGCCAGAAAGTCAGATTTTACTGGATTCTGATTCATGTTGAGAGAAGGGAAACGAGTGTGCCGGTGCTGTGGCAAAAGCAGCTACTTCTCACCCTGTGTCACATCATTCCCCTCTACCTGACTCTTATATGAAGCCAATAATAAGAGCTGCCATCCACCCCACATTAGATGTCAGGATATCAGGGACTGTCACACTGCCAAGAGACTGCTTTAACCACACATGGTTGATTCATGTTTTTTTTAATGGAGAGGGCACCCCCTCCCCATTGTGATGACTGCTTGGTCCCATTGAATGTTCGACACCGCCTGGTGGAGTGCCCCAGCCTCAGAGATCTTTGTCGTAAGCACCAGCGCAAACACACACACACTAATTGAGCAGCGCAATAAGGCATACTACACCAGGTCATCAGGGCAATCAGGTCAGCCAAGAAGTCTTATTATCCCAGGAAAGTGCACAGCTTCAAGGAGGTTGGCATCAGTCAGTGGTACTCTTAGGTGAAAGATCTCTGTGGTCTTAACCATCAGTCTCCCACATTTCCTTTTATCTCTCATTTATCTAGTGAGGAGGCAGCTGAGACAATTAATAACCACTTTGCTCCCATATGTCATACTCTACCCAGTCTTGACCTCACTCTCCTCCTGGCCTACTTACCTCCCCCCCTCCCAGTGTTCAACCATTTGAAATCTCCAACAAACTCCTGAAATTTAAATCTAAATGCTCTACAACCCCAATTGACCTTCCAATCAAAATTTACAGGGAGTTGGCAGTCAAACTTGCCACCCGCATCTGTTCCATTATTAATGCTTCCCTCAGACAAAGCAAATGCCCTAATGAATGGAAAACCGCATTTGTCACCCCTATACCCAGTCTACTCTGTGAAGACTTTGTTTTTGAATGGGCATTTGCTAGTATTTATCAGTCAATTGATCCACAACAACTTGGCAATATGAGGACCTCCTCTACATCACACTGCTTAGTTAGCTTCCTGGATTTTCTGCACAAAAACCTGGAGAAACGTAAGACATCACTGGCCATTGCCCTTCTTGATTTCAGGAAGGCTTTTGACCTTGTTGATCACTGCACAGTTATCAACAAGGCCATTGCACTAGGTCTGCCCACCAACCTGGTCTCATGGCTCACTGATTGCCTGAGTGAGTGTCGTCAGGCAGTGAGGTACCAGGGTTCTGTCTCCACATTCCAACACCTCATCTGCAGTGTTCCCCAGAGGACCAAGATGGGACCACTGTGCTTCCTGATCAACGACGCTCTATCGGATACTCCTCACAGGTGGAAGTATGTGGATGACTGCACTGTGGGGGTTACAGTGGACAACACCTCACCGGACAACTCATCGCTACAAGGCACCCTGGACAGGCTACAGGCATGGACTACAGTGAACAAGGTCACCATCAATCACACCAAAACTGTAGTCATGCACTTCAATACCGCCACCACTCCAGTGCAAGCTCCAGCAGTCACAGTGGGTGCCCATCCTCTCCAGTTAGTGCAGTCTGCCAAACTCCTGGGTGTAACTATAGACCACAAGCTGGACTGGAAGGCCCATGTAAACAACACAATCAAGGCAGCCTCGTACCGACTGTACATGCTACGACGACTCAGGTCACTTGGTGCACCCACGCCAGAGCCGAGACCCATCTACAACGCATTTGTTCTCCCCAAATTGAAGTATGCGTCACCAGCCTGGTCATCTTCTCTCAACTCTACCCAACAACTCCAGCTAGAGAAGGTACAGAAGAGGGCCTGCAGAATCATGCTCGGCGCAGACTACTGGTACTCCGGCTACATCAACGCTCTCTCCACCCTGGAAATGCCATCCCTCGGTGACCTCCACTACCACACACTAGCAGGGTTTGGCAGTGGACTACTGCACCATCCTCGTCATTGCCAACTATTGCCACCTGCAGCCCCCCGCCCACCTCGCGCAGTCCGCCACTACAACAAAATTCAGCCCATAAGAGCCAGCACTGATAGATATAAGAACAGCACCATCCCATCTATTAAAATAATAAACAGCTCCTGATTTATGTATTGTACAGCCCTGTAAATGTATTGAACATATATTATTGTCTGAATCAAATGTAAATTTGTATATTTTCAGCCATCGGCTGCAACTCTATTAATAAACCGTTTATTATTACTATTATTACACACAAGTCTTACCATATCTCTTTAATGCTGGGGGGGTCCTCTCCTTCGTGGAGGAAGGCGGCCTTCTACACAAGCTTTGAGTTTAATCTACCTTTTAAGCTTAAAAAAAGACCCCCAAAACTAGGGGTTGTCTTATACTCCAAGTATAAAATGTGAACCGTAAATCCTACAGCCTAGGTTGGTCCCATGGGTGGCAGAGATTTTTGGCTAACACCCACTTAACTCACGTTTGCCGAACTTAATTAACATAAACGGGTTACATTCTTAAGTCGGAACACAAGCTATGTGCATACCGTATTTACAGAATAATATTTATAATCCCACTACAATATATCATAGCCTAGATCCTAATATACAGTACACCAAAAATCACTTAATCACTTAGTTTAATCTCGTTCGTATTGGCGGATGTTCATGTTTTTTCAAAATTTTACCGTATTCCAACCAGAAATCAGTTCCTGTAAAAGAACCGACGCCTCGGTGACATCAGTGGCGTTCACAGTCACTACTACAGCAGTGAGTCATGTAAACTGGCCTTGCTTCAAACAGTCAAGTATCGTTTTTTTTTTATCAACTTTAGCTTACGGGTTTCGGTTGTTGCTTACCTGTATTGATGGTCAGTGAGACTCAGGACGGTTGGCAAGTATCGGCTAAAACTTCAATTTTAAATAGAAAATTTGGGGTTGTCTTATATGCCTTGTACACCAATATATACAGTATTAACATTTAAATAGTTTTATGAACGTTCTATATTATTTATCTTGCATTATTTGATTTTAGTCTTTTAAGCTTTTATTTTATTTTGGCGACATATGACCTTAAGTTATTACATCGCCAGGTATGTAATTACCACAATCAATCAATCCAAAAAATTCTTGTTAGCAGGACAAAAATATCATCATCAAATTATAAAACTTGGCAAAAAATCTATTTATAGCTTGATTTTCATGGTCCAAGTCTTAAAATGCAGGTCATTATCATCCCATTCTCCCCACAGTAAAAGACGGAGATTTAATGTACGTTGATTCTCGAAGTTGACATCCACATTAATATTAATCTTCTGAAGCAGTCCTTTAAGTTAAAACTGTATGCAAGTGTTCCAATATGATTCATTTCACCCATACTAAACAAGCTGCCAATGTAGAGTTTCAAAGTTTTCACTATTTGTACAATTGTCATTGTCACCATTTTTTTGGCCAAATTCCAATCTTGGGAATCCTGCTGAAAATATAAGCTCTTACAGTGCTTCAAAAACCGCTACAGTACTATTAATTTCTCTCAGACAACCTGCTGCCCTTCACAAGTTACTGAATTCACAACATGAACATTTACACACAGGTATTCCCATTCCATCCAAATTCTCCCTCTCACTTTTAAGGTGTAGTAAGATAGACTATAAAAACACAATATGTGTCAAGATAATGTACTTACCCCGATATTAAAAGTAAAGTGAATGCTAAGTCCTTGAGCCAGAGCACGACACAAGGAAGAGTACTGCAACTTGAGTGACCAAGTATCTAACAGTAGTTCCTGTCTCTGGTGCTGTGGCCCCAGAGACACTGTCTCACATGGTACCTCCTCTTCCTCCACAGTGCGTACAACATCTCGAAATGAAGCTCGCTGTTGTTTGCGGTCCTTTTTGGCTCTAAACTTGTGTGAATCTGTTGCTAGATCTGGAAATAATAAATAGTAACTAAATATTTATCATACACTTCTAATTTCCATGAAGTAGATGAGTACAATACTGGAAAAACAATTTCACTAACATCAAATGGTATACAGTGATCCCTCGGGTAACAAACGCCTCAGTTAACGAAATACCTTCCATAAGAATATTCAGTTCGGTTAACGAATTCCTTACGAATTTTTCCCAACATGTTTTTGCCTGCTTTCGCCTGCTCACCAGCTGTAGTATTAGTCCACCAATACAGTAATCGGATTTAGGGCTTAAATTCGTTACCATTTGAGTAAATATCAAGAAGGTTGTACTATTCAATAATTTTCCAAATCTTATATTAATTTTTTTAGTCATTTTAACAATTATTTAACATAATTGAAGTACAGGGAACTAGTTTTTAGCCCGCCAAACAGCCGCTTGACTCACCCAAAATGGCGTCACTTTGTGTGTCTGCTCAGTGGAGGAAGCATCTTGCTTGAGACTCTTGAACATAAACTATTTTTACATTTTTACAGTACAATTATTGGTCATTCTGAAATTTATTTTACATATTGACAATATATAGTGCAGTGCAGTATTGATTTAAAGAAAATAATCTTGAGTTACACCAAGTGAACTTAAAATTTTATGGGTGAAATGTCGGCATGAAGCATGGGGTGACTTCTCTTCCACCCCACTGCCTTCTCTTCTCCCTTCTCCTCCACCCCCACTTCTAATTCCCATCATCATCATCAACCAGGAGCCTTCTACATGCACACCTCAAAGTAAGTGTACTTTACTGCATTTTTTTCACTTTAGGTAATTTTCGGTGAGCTGGAACCAATTACCCAAAAACCCATTGAAACAATGGTTTCGGTTAACGAACGACCTTCTGGAATGAATAGTGTTCGTTAACCGAGGGACCACTGTACAGAAATTACTGTAAATTCATTTAAGATACTTTCAACTATTAATGTTATATCATTCCAAGACAAATGATAACATATCAAAAGTGTGTTGTATTAAAGGACTCTTGTACTGTTATTCTTTTGATTGACCATATGATATATTTAAGAAAGGTGTTGGCAGAAACTCAATAATGTGCAATGAGTGTGAAATGTGCAGCGGGGTAGAGGCAGACTTCGTGATGTTGCTGACTTTTAAGTGTCCCAGTGTGTGCAGGTAACCATGTGGCCTCAACAAAGATAAACTCAACATTGGGGATATATCCCTGAACTGTGTCTGATCTTTATTACCTGGTTGACTTGATCAGCGAGAGACGTGACTGAGGGGCGATATAATCGAGATGTATAAATGGAAGTCAGGGCTAAACAAAGGTACTCAAACTATCCAACCAGGAGCGAACTCATATCAATGGTTTTAAATTAGACAAATTTAGATTTAGGCGCGAGATACGTAAATATTGGTTTGGAAATAGAGTAGTGGACGAGTGGAACAAGTTACCAAACATCATCATTAACGCAAATATGCTGGATAGCTTCAAATATAGGTTGGATGGACACTTGACTGATAGGGGTGGGTGTAAACTGGACTGCCCAGTTTCCTCCATTCTTATATACCTGTACTTATGTACTGGAGCAGGTGCTAAGTCGAGTCAAAATTTGCTTGAGAAAGTTGAGAGTCGCTGCCTTTATTGATGGCAAGAGGACCTTCCTTCCACATAAAAGGTAAGATATATGCAAGTGGCATGAGAAGTGTTATGTTGTATGGCAAACAGACTTGAGTGATCCGAAATGAGAATGGTGAGGTGGCTGTGCAATGTGACACTGAAAGACAGGAAACCTTGTTCAGAGCTAAGAGGGCAGTTAGGTATTGAGAGTACAGGTATTGGTGAAGTTTTGTGTAGAGGCAGGCTGAGATGGTCTGGGCATGTGGAGAGAGTGGATGAGACCAATTGGGTCAAGATACTAGATACTAATCTTTTAATAACCTCATTATACACTTAAAGACCCTAGCTATTGAAGTGCAGTAATAACTGATTTTCTTTAAACAGTTCAGATAAGCAGTGTTATCTCCCCCCCCCCCCATATAATCGCTTTCTTTTACTTTCACATTGTTCGGACCGGGTAACATAGCTGGTGTTGCCAAAAGCTCTTATACATCTGGCAACTGTGTGTACAATATCAGCTGTCACAGTCCACTCAAGCCTTGTACCCTCAAAATACCTCAATTTTATGGAGGTATGGCATGCCATATTCTTTACAGAGTGCATTGGCTCTAATGCCTTCTTCATGTTTCATAATAATTTCTGCACTGTATATTAACAATATGGTAACTAAATTTCAGAATGACCAATAATTTTAATCTAAAAAATGCAGAAATATTCAAGAGACCAACCTTCTCGATATTTACTTCACTGGAAACGAATTTAAGCATAGAACCAATTACTGTATTGGCAGACTAGCCGATCAGGTGATGCGCACAACAAAACATGTTTGTCGTAAGGATTTCGCTAATTGAAGTTTTGCTCGTTAATCGAACTATAAATCCTTATGGAAACTAATTCGTTAACCAAAATTTTGTTAATCGAACCATTCGTTAACCAAGGGACTACTGTATGTACAGTATGTTGTGTTGTCAATGGAAAGACAAACAATGAGACCCTGCAATTTTGTGTAAATGAGGCAGAAAGTCATATCAACAACCTGGGACTTGGTCACAATTTTCATGATGCCATATGGCAGCAGGGTCTACTATTAGACAACACATTATACTTCCAATACCTTCCCAGGCGGTAGTACCTCCCTGTTTGGTCAGCACACGCTGTCTTTTTTACCCACGTGCATATCATACCTTTTCCACACATTCCAATATTTTGTTCATTAGCATATATTGCACTTTCTTAATCTCACATTTTCATTTATCATATTTTTCATTTTTGAGCCTTTAGAGCCATAAAGTGTACAAAATGAGATGAAGATTTATTTTCATAGAAATGTAACTCCCATCACATAAAGGAAGTCACAATTGGCTATTTTGATATTTTTAAATAAGTCAATGTTTTTCATAAAAAAACAAACTCTTCTCCCCAATTCTACCTCGACCAAAAATATCAATTCATCCCAAAATACTGTATCAAATTACTGAGAGTTGAGCATACAGTATAATAAAAATAGCATTGATAGATACTGGATGTTATGTACAGTCGGAGTCAAAAGTCTTGAACACTTAGCAATATCTGGCATCTACTTCTGAGTTATTTATACATGATTGGGATACACTAATAACACTACTTGTCATCACATATTATGCCTGAACCACAAAATGGGATCAAACTCTCCTTAATACCTAAGATCTTCGGGTACTTACATGCCAAATACTGTCAAGTGTTCAAGACTTTTGACCCCAACTGTACATATAGTGTTTAAAATATATAGGAAGAATATAGGCGATATAATGTGATGAAAATAAATGAGAAAGCATCTAAGTAGCATTAAGAAAGCTTACCTTTCAAGACAGAGCAGAGTTCTCCTCCACGGTTCCAATAATAATCATCATTATGACTTCGGGCAGCTTCATACAGCAGAGCCACAGCTTCCCCAGCTTGGATTCGAAGATCTACATCACTGCAGCCCAGAAGATCAAACATCTCACGCAACAACCTGTAGTAATTTTTTATTTACAAGCTCTCATATAAACTACATGACTTATTTTTAAGAAAACAAAATAAATAAAAATAATAAAAAATGAAAATAAATAAAAATATAAAGAAAAATACGCCTGTTTTAGCAACATTTATTGTTTCAGGGGAAATATGTCAAAGATCTATTTATTCTTAATGTGAACATTGTGTTGCAGGTGTGACATTAACAGTGTACTGTAGTCATTCATCAAATCAAACTGATAAGCTGTCACTCCATAAGCCTCCCATGCTGTGTACTATTCCAGATGATACTAAATGTTACATAATACTTCCTTGAGATAAATGTACAGTATATATCAGGTGCCTACAGGAGAGCTCAGGTTCTCAACTGGCTCAGCCATGTTAATATTTTTATTATTATCCACTCTGTATCTTTGTTTTTCTGGCTAAATAAACTTTTTCAATTCAATTCAAAATACAGTGTCAAATATGTCACACTGTGCATACCATTCTACATTTGTTTCCTAACAGACAGACAGCAGCAACACTGGCAATGCATTTGTACCATATTATTATACATTAATATGATAAAGTACTAAAAAATTGCTAAGAATGTATTATGTAACATAGTAATCTACACTCCTGTGTTACACCAATTATACTCTAACTGGGTGTCACCAGAATAATGTTCTATTAAGGCAGTACTGTACTGTAATAGGTGCCAAGCACTGGGGCAAAAATTTGGACCTTCATATACTCATTCAGTACAGCATCTCAATTCTAAATTCTTCACTATAAGCACTTGTGGTTCCAAAGCCAATCTTTTATCTAAATACTTTCATTTGAGTAAATTTGTTGCCTAATTTGGATAAAATATCTCTGTTAGTAATTACTATGACCAGTTGATTAAGTAGAACACCAACATTGGGGTGAAAAGACTAGGGTAGGGCTCACATCAAGGAGGGTAAAACAATTACTGGTAGACTGCACAAACTACTCAGTTGGATAGTGAATGTAAATATTGGACATCATAACTGTGATCAACATTTTACGGCTGTTTTCCACACTTGCGCGGGTTAGCCACGATTACCCGATGGCAACTTTCCATAATGCACCGTCTCTTGCACCCTCTAACGCCATTTCCTAAAACCTCTCCCCTTGACATTCTCGGCCTGCCCTTGGCTCTCCTCACTTCCAAATTTAAACTACTGCATCGTTTGATCCAATTGGTCTCATCCATACTCTGCACATGCCCAAAACATCCTGCAAAACTTCACCCTTTCAATACCAAACAGGCCCTTTTAGCACTGAACAGGGTTTCCCATCACATTGCACATCCACATTTATCCTTAAGGTAACACCACTCTAAGCTGTATATTTATATTACTGGTGATGTAGCTATGTACAGTATTTACAAATTTAATATACACTTAACATCATTCACTTCTGCAAAGGACCGACCACCATACAGTTATTTAGCTTGACAATACATACTTGTTGGCCATAGAGTAGACGGAGGTGGGGGATAAGAGACACAGCAGGAGACAGAAGCCATTGAGAGCTGCCGTGTGAAGTGCTGTTACTGCAGGTGGATGGTTGGGCAGCTCCCCATTACCCTGTTGAGGAAGGTGTTGTTATTAGTTGGTTTATCCTGGTTTATTAGTGCAGGTACACCACCGATTTTCTGGGAACTGATGGCCCGCCACTTTGTTTAGTCCGGACAAAATTACGAGAGGGCACTTGAAAGTCCGGCAACTGCCAGACTAGTTTACTGGGTGGCCACAGATGGCGTTGCCTCCAACTTCCAGACCTTTGTGATTAGCTCTACAGTTCAGTAAAATTCTAAAATTTGCCACTTTGGGAATGGTAGTACAGCAACATTCTTTTTAAGTACTGTACAGTAATTAATAAACTCGTTTCATTTATACTGTACTAATAAACCTGTATCATTTATAATAATGTATTACATTAAATCAATTAATTTACATTTAATATTTGTTTAATTTAAGTTTCTAGCAGTCCATTGTGCTTTAGAGACACAGGGGGTGTATAATTAGTGGGTCAGAGGTGTGTTGTTGAGTTATTATTACCTGACCTCGGTTGGTCCAGCTAAACGGATAATCCTGCAAGGCTTTGGAACCAAGGGTGCCGGAAAATCGGTGTTGTACCTGTACTGTACTAAAATATTCCAATCATAGCAACTGTAAGAACCTTCTATGATTCCCCTTTAACACTTCAAGCTTCTTCCTAGAATAAAGAGAAGTTCACAATAACAGTCTCCATTCTCACTACTGTTATAGATGTTCTACCACTGGTCTCTCTTTCCATAACAAAACACCAAATGTGGTCTACCCATTATTCCACACAAGCCAGTATCACCCATCAACAACCTGTCCTCCAAAAATCACTTTGTCTGCACTCATTCAAACACTGCTGCTTCCTGTATATTCAACCCACTCACTTCTAGTGCATCTTTCTCCCAACCCCATCAGATGATCCTCTCTAACATTATACAGTACAGTAAAAGTTCAAAAATCCGGATGCCAGAAATCCGGACCACCCGAGAATTCGGACTTTTCGAAAACTCAAACATTTTTTTTAGCTGGCTTTTGTGTGTATGTGCACATGCGTGAGCGCTACAGCTGCACAGCGAAAACAAGCGACCACGCGGTCGCCACTTTAAAATGAGCAATCAAACTGTGACAACGTATGTAATTTTGAGTCCTACTCTTTCCATTTACAGAGCCCATAATAATGGCTCCTAAAGTAGATAAACTTCGATGTGTGAAGAGAAAAAAGAACACATTGAAATTGAGTGACAAACTTTAAAAAATTAAAATAGAACGTGGTGTGAGCAATACTGTTCTAATGGAAACATACAACATTGAAAGTCTACAATTTATGATATAAAAAAGGCAAAGAATAAAATTCTAGAATTCACAGCATTTTCTTTAAAACTGCTCGTTTTGATAAATGAAGCATGGTATATTTGCTAATGAATAAACTATCAAAATGTACCTGTTCATCTCTTCTTTATTCCTCCTTAAATTTGAATTTTAAAAGTACTGCCTGAGAATCCGGAAAATCCGAAAATCCGGACCGACCCAATCCCCAAGCAGTCCGGAGTTTTGGACTTCTACTGTAGTGTGTTTGTTTAGTTCTTAAAGAGAGAATGATCGGAAGTTTTAATATTTAGTATTGAAATAATTGAAAGATGATACAACAATAACCTTCTCAATACTGTATTGGGTTGCCATTAATTTCACTTTAGTTCTGTCTTTGTCAATACATGGGAAGCAATATGCAGTGGGGTCTCAGAGTATGCGAGGGTTACGTTCCTAGGATCCCCGCGTAAGTGTGAATTCGTGTATATTTGCGCCCCCCCCCCAAGTTAGGGCGGTTCAGGGGGTTAGCTGCATAAGAGCAGGGTAGTGCACCAAGGATACGTGTACTGTACAGTACTCTAAATCCCTACATACAGTATATATCATTTTATCCATCAGGACTGAGAGAATTCAGGATAATTATTATTATTATATAGATTAAGGAGTGTTAACTGGTTCATTAAGACACAAGACATAATATTTAATTATGTCAGTCCTGCACTTAGCAAACACGGTGGGAACCCTCTGCCTTTTGAATTTAACATTAACAGCATGCCCTTGGAACTATGTAGCTCCTATAAATATCTTGGAATTTGTGTGAATGATGCAAACTTTGTCGGCAACCTTTGTGCCAAACTAATGCAGCGCATTAAACCTTCAGAACCCTTGTTGGCAAGGGCTATGGAATTAACATCACCTATGCCTGTACTTTCTATCTTCACTTCATTCGTTCTGTAGTTGACTATCATGCTCTCCATCTTGTGACTATTCTGCCTAAACAACTCAACAGCCTTGAGGTAGAGCAAAATGAAGCCATGCACATCATTCTAGGTTGCCCAAAATCAACCAGAATTGTAAACATAAGGAAAGAGCTTGGACTGCCCTCCCTACCTGAGAGGATAGCCCTACTTAATACCATGTTTTGTGTCAAAGTTTTGAAGAACAATGGTCCCCAAACTACAGCTCAAACTGAGTTGATGTTCTATCTAAATAATCCCGACTATCTCGCTAAACTTCCACAAAAGACTCTCTTTGGGGCGTGGCTTCATAAAAGTGTTGCAGATCTCTTGAAACTGAATGTCCCAATCACCCCAGACGAACCCATTAATGCCATTCCTCCTTGGCTGGATATATCAGTTCCTATTAATTACACTCCTGTTGGTAGTAAGCAAATGTTAAACACCGAAGTGATGAGATGTGTCACACTAGAAACTATTAACAGACACAGAGTATTAAATCAAGTGAATGTTATGCTATTACTGGTGGTTCTGTGCAGACAAACACAGGTAGAACAGGCTGTGCAATTGTAATATTTAAAGATGATAGTGTCAAACAAGCAAAGGCTGAACAACTGGGCCAGCACAACACAAACTGAACTAACTGGAATCTACTTAGCTGACAACCTTAAAGAAAATGGAGGTGGGGTGATATTCTGTGACTCTCAAAGTGCTTTGAAATCAATGAAGAGCCCGTCAGGCTCTATGTCTAAAGTTGTATGTGATATTAAGAGGAATGTGATAACTGCCAATGAGAACAACTTTCGTATTGAATTTGTGTGGATTCCGTCCCATGTTGGAATCAGGTATCATGACCGTGCTGATAGACTGGCCAATGAGGCATGTAAGAAAGAAAATGTTGACCGTGACCTTGGCCTGTCCAATGCTGTAATTAAAAACATTCAAGTCAGAATCATGAACTCTGATCTAGAAGAAGTGAGAAATGCAGAGATCTGGCAGTTGAAGCATTAGTAAATATGGCAAATTTTGTGACAAGAGGTACCAGTATGGCCAGCATAAGGACAGAACCAGACAATGTGACGTAGTCGTGGCCAGAATTAGGCTAGGATACAGACACATCTGGCAAGTTAGTAACGCTGTACCCATACCGTAACACTCTGCATGTAAACTTTGTGATAAACCTTTAAAGCATACACTTGAACACTATATTATTGAATGTGGCACTGTCAAAGACTTCAGGCCACCTGGCTTATTGTATCTTGAACTTTGTAATTACTACATTGAATCACGTGTGCTTGAGGACATTCTTGCTGTTTATCCAAAATTTGCTAGCCCACACTGATTAGTCTTCAATTAGAATATGACTCCAATGTATGTGAACCACTGACCTATATATACGGGAATGGGACAACTGGCCGCCGCCATCTGGCCGCAGCCCAACTGGCCGCGGGAAACTCGCCGCGGCGGACTGGGGGTAAACTGCAAACGCCTAATTTAGGTTAGGTTAGGTTCCATATGGCGGCCAGTCGGCCGCGGCGAGTTTCCCGCGGCCAGTTGGGCTGCGGCCAGATGGCGGCGGCCAGTTGTCCTAGACCCTATATATACTGCTAATGAATGTGATATATTTCCTTCTTTGTGTACGAACCTCTGTCCTGCATGGCAGTGAACAGTGGCATTACCCACATGAATTTGACCTATATGTAGTGTCGATGAATATGATGCATTTCTTTGTGTACGAACCTCTGTCCTGTATGGCAGTGAGCAGTGACATTACCCACATGAATCTGACCGCTATACATATATAGCTGTTAATGAATATGCTGTATTTCTTTGTGGATGAACCTCTGTCCTGCGTGGCAGTGAGAAGTGATACCACCCTTAGTGTCAAGTCCTGACTGAATTATTCAGAATAGGCAAACTGTACTACAAGCTTTGCCAATAATTTTGTTAAACTAAACTACTCAACATCAGCCCTCACCCACAACTTCATTTAAATTCCTCATACCACACACACCTACACTAAAAGGTTATATTTATTAGAGAAAGCTTGCTGGCAATTCAAAGTCAGCCTTAGGTTCCTGTCTTCTACATGATCACCCTACCCTAGAGGGGAGGGACTACAGTGCAAGTCCTTTTATCCGAACTCATCGGGACCAATGATGATTTGGATACCAGGAACTGGGAATAATTAACCTAAGGTCAAAATTCAGTTTAATGACAGCGTGACTTACTGAGAAGGGAAAAAACTGGGGAGGTGGCCTGTGACATGGCATGTTGCCGTTGTTACATGTAATGAAATAATAAAAGCTGTGGAATAATCATTACAATACTCTATCGTGGCTTAGAAATAAAGAAAATACAGGAATATCCCAGTTACCACAAAGGATGCATTCCTAAAAGTCATTGCAAACAATGGTGAAATTTTCCCCATAAGAATTAATGTAAATAGGAGAGGGAGATGCATTCCCAGCTGGCAACTTTCACCACACATTTTTTGATAGACATTAAAACTCCCATAATTTGAAATATTAGGGGCTCTGGGGAAAAAAAAAAGTTTTCTGTCCCAATCAAAATTTAAGCATTTAAAAGTAGAGTACCATATTTAGGTGTTTGGTCCAGGGCTATCAGACATAATGGCTCAAGCACTGCACATTGATGGAAGAACAGAGGGGAAAAAGCTTGTGCAGTAGACCGCAGCTGTACACTCCACAACTGACCAACACGAACTGAACGTGACCAATACGTGTGATACGTACAGTATAATACTTGTTTACAGAGGTTGGCGGTCGCATTCCTTGGCGACACACGTGCATCATATATATTCGTGAATGTTTCTCACGACCCAAATTTTTTACCAAATACGTACAAAATATATTTGTCAAGTTTTGTAATATTTGGTAGATATTTGAAAAATTAGAGACATTTTGGATTACGCTTGCTACCATTGCCACAAAGGTACTAGTTACAGCTGCTACACCCATAATGACAACCTATTTCAATATTTGTCTCCAGACTATTGAGCCTGTACTGTAGCCAAATATTCCCTTCTGTATAATGTTAATGAATGAGTATGTCAATTCAGTAGTATCTTATACAAAGGTTTGTACAGTACTGAATTGTAGTGAGATGATCGTTCATTCAAGTGAAAATTAAGCAGTTATGCTAAAGTTTAATTACTGTATTTTACTGTATACATTTTGTGGGACGATAAACACATTTATAAACCAATCACTGAATTTACTGACACTTCTTAGTTCATGAATAAGATTAACATCACTGGAAGTCTCTACAATACTGAAAAACACAACATATGAATTACCTTGGGTAAAGAGCCACCAAATACTGAGTGGAGTGTATTCATGGCAGAGGTGACATCAGCCAAGTCATGACAAGCCAAGAATGCAGACAAAGCCAGAGTGAATGCACATTCTTGCCGCCCAGCAAGTGGGCCAGATGGGTCAGTCAGAGCCACGGTCAACACAGGCTGCAGGGTCTTGTACACCTGTAACACATCACTACTATAATATTGACACTTGCTAAGATAACTAAACTTAATTAAAACATCATTTTGTACTTGCTGGCAACTATTTACTACATTATAAATACTGTATACCGTATTTGCCGGCATATAAGACGCACCCCTATTTTACAAGGATATTTTATGATTTTTTTATTAAGTTTCATCATACAATTATTGAATGTGGATTAAAGTGGTTTTGTAGGGGAAAACATAAGATTTTGTGCATGTAAATATAATATATACTGGAATCAAGTAGGAAATAATATATATAGTAACATTATACTAACCCAACTCTACCTCTGATCAGAGCAGCTGTGTGGCTTGTTTATATTTTGGTCAAGAGAATTACTGACAGGATTTGAAACTCGTATTTTTGGCTGTGATGTTTTGTGTAACTGCAATCTGCCACCAGGGTGTAGCACCATCACTATTGTTTTGGCAGCATCGACTCATTGCAAATGGCTGACTGGTGGCTGAACTTTCTGTTAACATTTCTTTAATCTTTCTCGGGTCATCTTTCATTCAGATAATAAACAAATGTTTCTTAAGGGTAACACAGTCGTTAAATAATGTAAGACGTGTACAGTATCTGGTGTGGGTTACATATGCTGGGGAAGGAGGTACAGTGAGATGTTGTGAGCTTCCCTCTGCCATTAAGCCAATGTAAGCCATAATTTACGTCTTCGGCAAAATTGCGGAAATTTTGTGATAATAGATTGTGATAATTTGGCTTGTTTTCAGTATTTTATTATTAGTAACACAATTTTAGTGCTTAGTGGACTACTGCTCGTCCCAGACTCCCTAGCTAGGCACCTCCGCCTACGGCTCTCGGCCTCCCATCCGTAATACGGGCGCATTAGACGCAGGGTAATTTGCGATACATTAAAAAATAGATAAAAAATGCATTTTATACGCCGGCAAATACGGTATACTGTATATAGGATGTAATCCAACATGGAGGTGAACTCCACTATCCAACACTGTATAGACAAACAGAAAATGCAGTGTGTACGATCAAGTTTTTTAATGTATACAAGCAGCCACCACAAATACTATCTATAAACATATCAAATTACAATTCAGTTTTAAATTTATAAAATTTGGATACAAGTCAAAGCTTGAAACTTAATATCCTAATGCCCCCCATCATTCCAAGAAATAATTTTGGTTACCACCAAAACATTACAAAATCCTTAACCTGTCTCCATTCACTTAACCCAAATCTGTTGACACATAACAAATGAAGTCTGACCTGTTCTGCCTCAGGTACTTGTGACAGACTGAGGACGAGGAGGGATGCCAGCCTTGCAGCCGCAACCTGTTCTGGTCCTCTCCCTTTTCTCAGTGATCGCTCTACCAAGTCACATATAGTCTGATGATGGTCTAGTAGGAATGGTGTCAACACCCTGCGATGGATAAGAAATTTAGGTCTCAAATCTATGTTCAATTGACTGTCAATCAAGTTTTCATTTTGTACTTCTTGGGAACAATGACAGGCACAACACACTAGTAACTAACCTCTTCTGAAATGCAGTGGTGAGGGATGTCAGGGCGTTGGTGCGGGTGTGTACAGACTTCTCCAGGGCGAGATCCATGGCTTCACGTACCTTCTGTTCATATGCCTCAAGTTCCGACACTCCTTCATCTGTCGACACAAAAGCTTCGGTGTTAACTGTAAAATCTGATAATTTATCATTTGCCAGAGATAATTTTGAATCAACTTAACTATTCAACTTTATTGTTGAATAATATTCAACTAAATCTAATTACACATTATACTGAATTGTTTATTCAAATCATTTTAAGATTAACAACCCATAACAACATTGAAATTTATGAACAAAATTATTTAACCCTTTCGCTGCGTTTCCCGCACACGTCATTTTATTCTGGCTACCGCCAGATAAATTTATTCAGCTTAGGGTAACCTCCTGCAACCAAAGGGTTAAAATTAAGCTATTACCACAGTACAGAACTGCCTCTCAACTTATTTTAATTAGATAAAATACCATTACCTGTACTGCAAAGTAATTGTTCAAGTAAAGAGCTCCATGATGATATCTACACCAATCCTTGTTAGATGCACTGTATCATAACAATCTGAGAGACAACAACTAAATGACCACCATTTACACTGGAAAAAGGTGAGGATAGCATATTAACACACACCATCCGTGAGCTGAGCCGTGGAGTCCGTTTGATCACTGCTGACACTGGCAGTCTCGTCATCTTCACCACCAACAACTGTCAAAAAATATAATAGAAATGTAATAAAAGTTGCTGCATCTCGTGATAATACTAACAACTGCATTACTTATGCAGGGTTCTAAAAAAATTATAAAGGTACATGTAGACACTGTACTGTACATCATCATATCATGAAGCGACACAGATGAAGAAATTTCAGAAACACAAAGGCATAAATCTAGTTTTGGTCCTTGTTTAAACCCTTTAATTCTTCTTCCCTCAAGCTCTTTCTTCCTCCTCAAAGTTAGTCTCATTTTAGTACAGGTTCTGTATCTGAATTTGGTACAGCAGAATCCCAATAGTTTGGCATCAGGTCAAAATAGTATCATACTGTATTTAAAGTTGATTTGGAAAAGCCCGATGGTCCAGCTCACTGGCTAGCTGCATGAGAAGGATGTTGTGATGAGTTTTGCGAACAGATTGGCAGACTTTATCACAGCGTCTGACAACACCCGATGAAGCAGCTCATTGGCTAGCCACACCTGCAGCATTTTGTGATGAGTTTTATTATCAAACTGACGGAGTGAGTATCCCGACCATTCATGATCCAGTTCCCATTTTCCACGCTGCTGTTCACCAGTTCACCTACAGTATAGTTGTGTTGTGTTTATCCATCATTTGTAATGGCTTCTAATGTGAACGGAGGTAAAAGAGGTGGTAAAGGTGTGAAAGAAAGTACTGTATATAACTTTGACAATACTGTACATCAGAAAATGGACATAATAAAGCGGCTTAAACCAAACAAAAGTACAATACAATATTAGATCATCAGAGCCTTAAAAGTACAGGGAACCGAAAAGCAACAAACAATGAAACAGCCTAAAGTGCATCAATTAGATAGTGTTTTGTATAAATGGATCATGGTTAAGTGGACCAAAGAAAGTCAACAACAGGGCCTAGGCTAATTGAGAAAGTGAAAGCTTTTTATAGTGACATGAACATTTACTGAAGTGTACATTTTCTGTTGGGTGGCTACATAATTTCGAAGTACAGTATTGTACATCATAACATTTGTAAGCTGGATGTTTGTGGTGAGCAGAGGTCTGCTGATGGTGTCAGACTATCAGAATTCTGCTATACTTTCTGTGTCCTCTGATACCGGGCTACTTTAGACACCATAGTTATTTGCCCTCCGTCCTTCAGTTGTGGGAGCCAATAAAAACGAACTCGGATCCTAAATGTGTCTAGAACAAACCAGATCTTTCCCTCCCATTATTTGGTTCACTTCCTTACATTGTACAGTAGAAATGAATGTCAACACCATCACTAACTGTACTGTACAGGTGAGGAAAGGCAACAATTTGGTGAAGAGTACTGGACTGTACCGTACACAAGGCAGAGAAAAATAACAGGTCGTGGGTAAAATTTGGGGGCGGGTAGATGGATAATAATTAATCATAGAAATGTCAGGGGAACAATTTGTGTTAGTTTAATTGAAAGGAAGTTATTACAGTACATAACCACAGGAGCAAAACAGTGAAACTTGTGATATAGTCTGACTAGAATACCATAAACACAACAAAGAAGTTAAGTGCTGCACCACTATTGGAGATTGAGGTTCCCCCATCAGAGGTGTCAGTTGCAAATGTGGAGTTTTATCACCACCATCCATTGTGGAAATTCCTCCATGTCTATGAACCTCTGCACAGTCACATGACTGACTTTTTTTTTTTACGGGTGTTACCCCACCCGGACACAGGTCACCGACCCACATCAGGGCCCGGGGGCGAAAACGTAATAACAATAATAATAATAACAATAATAATTCAGAAAAGTAAAATTTATAATAAAAAAATAATGATAACAATAATAATACTGAAAACACTGCAATAATAATAATAATAATAATAAGGAACCATAAAGAAGTTAAAAAAAAAGATCATTAGTGAGAAATGATATACAGTATGTATGTTGTGTTGTCAATAGTAAGAGAAACAATTGAGACCCTGCAATTGTGTGTAAATGAGGCAGAAAGTCAGAACAGCAACCTGGGACTTGGTCACAATTTTCGTGATGCCATATGGCAGCAGAGTCTACCATTAGACAACACATTATGCTTCCAATATCTTCCCAGGCGGTAGTACCTCCCTGTTTGGTAGCTGCCTACTACCTGATGGGACTGGGACATGCCCAGGAGGTGAAAGGTATGATTATAAATTTTTTTTTATTCTCAACTATATTTGCAATCTGATGATTTAGTTACTAAAACAGGGCTAAGGATGGTAGACCTTTTTTTCAAAATTGTCATTAATTCAATGGTATTCTACCTACAGTATTTTCAGAGTGACCTTTAAAGAATAAAAACTTATGAAACTATTATTATATACAGTACAGTATAAGGTTTATCTGACTCTTACCAATGGTTGAGTACTAGTCAAATTTTTATGAGATGTAAGCTAAAGATAAATGCTGAGAATTATGTAATGGTAATTCAGAATAAAGACTTGGATAACAATACTGTCCATGAAAAGAAGGCACGTAAGCTTGGAAGTTCAGAGCAAACTGCAGGTCTGTATAGAAGCAAGGTGTTGAAATGAAGGGAAAAAGTACAATTCAAACTGCAATACAAAAATCAGTTACCAAGCTAGCTGTAATGAAACACAGTTTGCCAGAACCTAACTATGCTTTATTCATCTTTTAACTGTCCTACAGCAATACAATAGTGCAGAATATAAAACAATAGGATTTAACAAAATGAGATAGAATGCCGAAACACAGAAGGGACATTTAGTCAAGTGCAAAATGACAGTACAGTAGAGTAATTCTTTATCCACATAGCTATCCCAAGACTATAAGCATTACATCCCTAAGACATACATTAGTACATAAGAACAATACAGAGGTAAACCACAAGTCCATATTACACCAGCTATGTCTTATATTCAGGGCAAATAAAATGGATGGGATAAAAAAAAAGTGAAGAGAAAGTTTGTTGAAGTGGGAGAGCTCTGAAGAAGAGTGAAGGGTTGCTGATATGGTAGATACTGTAGATAAGAATAAGAAATCACTGTGATTAGTTACATAAGCTACCTCAAGTGTAAGAAAAGCCAGCTGGCATCCTCTGCATATGAGATAAGGGACTACATGGGACTAAAAATGAACTATCAAGTACAGTAATAACCTTTTCAGGCATAAATTACAGTACCACCATTAGAAACATATTTACTGGGTAAATTATACGACTCACTGTTACATTCTCAACTTATCCAAATTTGGTTTATGAAATATTAGTTGGATGAAATTAAGATTTGGACAATTTAAAAACATTCTGAGATGTTGTCATCTTCACAAGTCAAATTGCCCACCAAAACATTACAAATACTGTACTATTCTGTACTTCAATTTCCAAAACTTGGTTAATACAGTAGCTACAGTACTGAAGATGGCCTGCTACACCAACACATGGCACAAGTCCTCTCCTTCGCTCACAACGGACATAAAAAGTGATACACTATTACACAAAATACTCCTCCAAATTTTTTCAATTTTCTTGAGGTAAAATGATTTCATCTTCCATGAAGAAATTTCCTTTATTTGAAGCTAAAGCGGAACACATTTGTTGGCTAATATTGACAACTTTACCGCCAACACGCTTATTTGGTTTGATGTTTGCAGTACAGTACAGTCATAATAGCCGCTTAGGTTAGGAAATGTTAGTTTAGGGTTAGGTTTAACACATTTGCCATAACTACGACAGTATCCACTATAAAACACAGTGAAATAGCAGCATTTTAAAATTGTTTTCAGAAAACCAGCGGCAGCAAAGTCGCCAATAATTACCCACTTATTAGGTATTACCCACAGTGTAGCAGTAACTGGTGTATGCAGTACTTGGCAAGTTTCCAGACTCGTATGTAAACAAGGTGTTCTGAATTTTACGATAGAAATCTTCCGTCTAGAGAAAGATTTAGAAAGCCAAATTTGCTTTCTCTTGAAGGTTATACTGTATGGTACTGTAGAGTGAGGGGCCTTATGATCCAACACAGAGAGAGATAAATAAAGGTGATATAACTAAGGTACTTAAACTATTAAATTAGAATGAACACAACAATGGATTTATATTAAATAAATGGCAGTGTATATTTAACTGTGACTGGCTAAGTTCCTACGAATGCTATTTTACCCCTGAGTGAGCTCTAATTGGCTAATCAAATCGAAATGACAATGCACAGAACCTAGAACTAAAGGTATTATTTCACTTGTACACGAATCTCAGGAATTGTGCAGTTGTTATCAGTAGTTCTGACTACTCTAAGACACGCTGGTAAATATTTAACAGCTGCCAACATCTAATTGACTTTTTATGTTTTTATTGTGTAAATCATTGTGTAAATCATTGTGTTAAATACAAATATCACCTTCATTGCCACCGGAAATGAGCAAAAGTTAAGAGATTGAAAAAAATAAATAAATAAAAGTGGGAGGTCAAACTTTGGAAAAACCTCACAAACCTAACCTAACCCCTCGTGTGTAAGAAGGTTATCATAAGTAAGAGACACAGGAGGGTAGAGTGAGGAAGTGTCCGTCTCTTGCCACAGTACCATGCAGGGTGATCTACACGGTACTCACACTCTGAATAACATCTTGAACATTTAACAGATGAAACAAGAACACCGTCAGCCCTAAAAATGTCAATGACTGCTGCTTCATTGGCCAAAATGAGCTGAATAATGCGGCAGCCAGTCAATGTGCATCCACCTCACACAGACGCCATCTTCCAACTGCCCGGGAATCGAGACTTGTGTTGATTAGTGCACGAATATTACGTCACATTGGCACACACGCTGATTGGCACGCACGACTATGACTTCACATCAACAGTGACACTGATTGGCCAAATATTATAAAATAAGTTAAAATAACTAAAAAAAATATAAATTTCCAACAAAAACATTGACACTTAATTATTTATTTTCTCTATCTCCCATATGACTCAATATTTAGTTAGGTGGTGGTAACTAGTGAATATTAACCCACTTTTCTTCAATGGCATTCTGGTGCAAATTACGTATAAGCGAGATACTTAACATTTTATTATGTATGTTCTACGCAGTATACACCCAGAGCATCAAACGACTGTGGAGCTCCCCGGTTAGGTTAGGGTTTTGTTTTTCCGATGGTTTTCTGAACACCTTTTACTTATATGGAAGGGGGGGGCTTAATCTCAGAAACTACTGATTTCAGCCAGAAATGAAGGTCAAATTCATTCATAACACATCAAAAACCACCAGAAAATCATAGTTTCAACTTCGATTTTGCTTAATGGCAACAAGAGAAATTTTACCAAACCTACTACTACTACTTTGCTGTCACTTGGAATCGGGTAAGATGATCATCCAGCAAAGATACAATGATATGAGTTATTAGGGATGTCACCTAGGTTGGTGAGTTTTGAGGTGACTAAAGAGGCAGATACGGGACTGACAGAGTCGTTCACATTCAATGCACACGTGGAAGGCTCCACCTACTACTACTGGAGGGGCGACGGCAGTGCCTTTCCAGCGTTAACGCTTGTCTGCCTTGGTTTGCAATCGGGCTAACTCAAGAGTATTAACACCTTCTCGTGTGGTGCTCCTCCAAGCATTACGATGTGGAGTAATCGACTCCCAGGTGAGGCGGTCGACTTGGCACTTTTTCAGGTTTGTCTCAAGACTATCCTCATACCTTTTCAGTTGCCCGCCGGCGTTACGTTTACTATTCGCTTGGTAACTGTAATGTAGCTGCTTTGGCAGTCTACTGTCATCCATGCTGGTAACATGGCCAGTCCAGCGTAGTTGTACATGGATAATGGTAGCCTCGATGCTCCTACAGTTGGTGTCAGCAAGAATACTGGCTTTTGTTCTCTTGTCTTCCCAATAAACTTGGAGGATGGAACATAGACTACGTTGGTGTAAGTTTTCAAGTGCCTTGAGGTGCCTCCTGTATGTGACCCATGTCTCGCTGCCATATAGCAATGGTGGAGAGGACCACTGCTTGACATACGTGCAGCTTTGTAGATAATTTCAGCTCCCTACAGCTGAAGACACGATTTCTGAGTCTGCCAAAGGCTTGAGATACACATCTCATCCAATGCTGAATCTCTTCATCGATGTCTGCAGTGGTGGACAGACGGGAGCCGAGATACCAAAAGTGGGTAACATTAGATAGGGTAGTACCGTTAAGCTGGATGGATAGTGGAGGTGTGGCTGAACCAGGGTCAGGCTGAAAGAGAATCCGAGTCTTAGGTACATTCACCTCAAGGCCGAAGTGTGCATACGCATCTGCATAGGTGTTCAGGATCTCCTGTAGGTCATGTTCAGTAATGGAAGCTGCCGACACCTTTACTCTTGCCTGGAGTCGTCTTATGTTGAAAAGACCCCCCTTCACCCGGTACTCGATGTTCACCCCGCTGGCTAAATTGGCACTGGCACGAGTAAGGAAGGCAGCCAGAAAATAGAAAAGAGAGTTGGTGCCAGTACACACCCTTGTTTAACCCCAGTTTGGATGGGGAAGAGCTCTAACTGTGTGCAGTTGTGGAGGACACTGCCGTTCATGCCATTGTGGAGTTGCCTCGCAATGGCGATGAATTTTGGTGGGCAGCCAAAACGGATGAGGGTCCACCAGAGGGCTTCCCTGGTGACCGAGTCGAAGGCCTTGGTTAGGTAGAACAAAGTCATGTACAGATCACAATGCTGTTCTCTGCACTTTTCCTGTATCAGGTAGGCAGCAAAGATCATGTCAGTGGTGCCACGTGATGGTCTAAAACCACGTAGAGATTCTTGGAGGAAGTTTTCTGCCTCAGGAAGAAGTCTGTTTAGGAGGGCTCGGGCGATAATCTTGCCAGCTACGGAGAGCAGCGAGATCCCACGGTAGTTGCCACAGTCTGACTGGTCTCCCTTGTTCTTATAAATATTGACGATGGAGGCGTCTTTAAGAGCTTGAGGGATTTCCTCCTTTTCCCATATATTCTCCTGGAGAGAGTGGAGACGGCTTGTAAGCAGAGGTCCTCCTGCTTTATACACCTTGGCTGGGATTCCATCATGCCTTGAGGCTTTGTTATTTTCATCTGTTTGATGGCAGTAGCTACCTCATCCAGGGATGGAGGATAGCTGAGGTGGGTCAGCTCTGGATGCTGAGGGACCTGTTGGGTAGTCAGGACATCCACATCGGTGTTTCGGTTGAGCAGTGAACGGTAGTGCTCTTCCCAGTGCTGAAGGAGGCCTTCATCATCTTTAATTATGAGGCTACCGTCAGATGAGCAGAGGGGGGCTATGCCATGAGTGGCTGGCCAATAAAATGTTTTAGTGGAAATGACAAATTCACGCATCTTGTGTTGATCTGCATTTTTTTGTGTTTCACCTGCTTTATTTTTAAGCCAGTCATATTAGTCTTTTGATTGCGAAGTTCCCGCTGGGCTGCCGCTTTCTATTTACGGAAGGTATCAGCTTTGGTCAGAGACTGAGGGTTGTTCTGCCAGTCAGTAAAAGCAGCACGTTTATCATCGATGAGTACTTTGATTTCCAGGTCATTTTCATAAAATCAGTCCTGGTGTATTCTTTTGATCTGGCCGAGGGTCTCTGCAGGTCTTTGTCATAACAGTATTAAGAGTATCCCATTCGGCACCGGGATTCACGTTGTTTGCTGTAGGGTTGTTTATCAGCCCATGTTCGAGCTGCTCTCTGAAAACATGTGCTAACGCTGGATCCTTCAGACGCTTGGTACTAAAACCTCTTCTGGAGGCTTGCTGCCATCGCCGTTTTGGGGCAACGTGAAGTGGGAGCTTGGCTCTGACTAGTCGCACAGACAGGACCGAATTGCACTGCCTTACCTCACCAAACTTCCTAACTTGTGCATTATCATTCATATTTTCCGATCATCACCCAAACATTTCAAGAACAAAATAAACACGGTGGATATCTTGCCGTTTGTTTGCCGGATACTTAATGCCTTAGCTCAGCACCAAATGACGCGACTTCCCATGGACACACCTTATCACGTGCTCTAAACATGCTACCTCATAGCTAATGGAAAGTTACAGGGGGTGATAAGAGTATATAATTCAATGGTAATTAACCTATTTATATAAATACTTCTGCCTATAAGACAGGGGCTATTACAGACATTTAACCAATCAGAGTGCACTCACGGTAAAATAGCGTCAGTAGGAACTTAGGTCACAGCAAAATATGCACTGCATAAATATACTTATATTTAGATGGGAATTAGGTAAACACTGAAGAAAATAGGTGTGGATGAATAAAACAAGTTAAGATACACCATCTTTAACTGGAACACGCTGGGGAGCTTCAAATATTGGTTTGACACATACATGAGTGACAAGGGCTGGGGCAGCCAGCCTGGGCCTACAGCAGTTTATTCCTTCTCGTGTTCTTATGTAACACTGAACCCAAGATGGATGACTCTCGAGTGACCATTATTATATAACTCATATATCTAACATTTATTGTCTCAGTGCTCCAGCTGGACAGAAAATTTTTGCCCACAAGCCCTTGCAAAACTACCTGACCCCCATACTCGTGCAGCGAACTCAACATTGTTATAGTTCCTGGTAGGTTACATAAGGCGCCCGTGGGGATTAAAATAACCCAGAAATAGAACAAAACATGACGAAATTCTTACCCAGAGCGGCTGCGACGGCAGCTGCTCTCCGAGAGATCTTCTTTTCCCGCGGCATATTTCTGGGCACTCAGACGTTAGTTCACCGGGATTTATACCACTTCACGAAGGCAGTGTCTTGGGATTCCTAAAACAACACCAATATATTGCCTGGGAGAAGAATGAAAATGAATGTAGCTCCAAAACCATACGCATCGTGTTCAGGGGCTCGACTAAATCGTGAATTCCACGATATGGCGGACACTAATAACCTTCCCTCCCACCAACTGTTGTCGTTTACACTTATTGGAGACAATCTTCTCTTATTTATCATTACATATAGTATTTCAGGATTACAAAATTTCTGTAGTAATATTATATATTTATCAATGCTTCAAAAAACTTTACAGAACCTATACTTTCTTTAGCAATATATATTTCAGGAAATATTTGATCTTTCGATATTTTGTTCGTTCTGTACAACAGCTTTTGTGGGAATAATATAAATGATATCAACATACTTGCCCATAATACGTAATCTTAAGGTAGCTTTATAGGTAATGAGTTTCAGTAGAGGAAATAGTATTAGATTGATCTAGGTGAACAGGAATTATCGTACACTCAGTAATCGATGACGACAGACCCAAGGCCAACCCGCCGAGAACTTCCCCTTTTTTCTTACATACTGTATAGTATAGTTAACCTTTAATCAATAGAATTAAAAAATAAAAACTCAAGTGATATTATGATTTTTTCGTGATTTTAAGTAATGAATTTATGGAAATTAAATTTAAAATTATAGCGGGCGATTAGTGTTTAGTGGTTGTACACATTGCATCATTGTCTGAAATTTTAAATTAATCAAAATTTTTGTGTATACCGATATCCAGCCTGTATATAAAATTATTTCTTGTAACATACTAGTTAAATATTCTAACTAAACCATAAAGACAATGTGTGGGATTACTGGTATAAAAAGGCCTTATGATATCACTTGCAGACGACAAAGAGATAACGCGCTCTTTTTCCTGAGTAATTATATATATATATATATATATATATATATATATATATATATATATATATATATATATATATATATATATATATATATATATATATTTATTTTTTTAATTAGCCCACCCGGGCACAGGTCCATGACCCACATCAGGGCCTGGGGGCGAAATTCTAATAATAATAATAATAATAATAACAATAATAATAATAATAATAATAATAATAATAAAGGACCATAAGTGAATACAAAATTAACAAAGATTAATAGTGAGAAACGATATAATATGTATGATGTGTTGTCACAGTAAAGGCGCCCACACACTACCCAATATGTTTGTCAAACATGATGTTTCACCATACATGCTACACACTTTACAACTAGAATGATCAAGATTCAGTTGGTGTCTGATACGCGCCGCCTCAACAAGGGTGACAGCATGAGTGAGGAGGCAGCCTGTATTTCTATCATACTTCCTCTTAAAACAGAGACCAAAGAAAAAACGAAAAATAAAATTATGGATGAAACTTTCGTTGAACTGTTGGAAAGAGTGACGAAATACATTAAAAAAGAGGACACTATCTTGAGAGATACCATACAAAGACTCAAGTACACCGAGGTTCCTAGCAACAGGCCAGTCTTTTGAGGGCTTTAAAAGTTTACATCTGCCATATCTGCTCCCAGTCATGGTTACATCTTAAAATTCTTGTATAAGAGATCTATTCTTGTAATCTTCAGTTTTTATTTACCACAATGATGAAAACTGCTTATAAAGTTCAATAAACTCTCTCCAAATCTCATGCAAGTCCCGTGCGCTTGCCATGGCAACTGCTACTCGACTGAGCATGTTTGATTATACATTGCCACACACTATCCAACATGTTTGACTAACGTCATGTTGGACGAGAAAATATCAAACTTGTTGAATCTTCTTCAAACATGTTGGTCATACCTTCAAACTTGCCCAGACACTCTCAAATTGTATGATCAAACATATTTGAGTGTTTGCAACTGTGTGTAAATGAGGCAGAATGTCAGGTCAGCAACCTGGGACTTGGGTCACAATTTTGGTGATGCCATATGGCAGCTGGGTCTACCATTAAACATATATCAGGTAAACTGCCAACCGAACCGTAAATGTGCGTACTTATGCATTTTCTTTATGGAAGAGGTAGTTGGACTAACATGCATAAAGAAAATAACGGGTGTCACCCTTGCACTATTGAGCACCCCCTACCCCAAACACCCACCCACTAAATTAGGTCGAATTTGAAAGTTGCAAACCCATCGAGTAAGGTATCAAATTAAAGCTAATGAGATGGAGAATGCAAATAAGTCATGTAAAATTTAATATTTACTTCCAGTTCCTTGGCGGGTCGGGTCGTGTTGCGTCTCTGTAACAAAGCGTGTTCGGCATTCGGGCCTTCGTTGTTGAGCGGCAGAAATTGGACAGTGATTACATAAGATCATCAATCGTCTTAGTGATGTTAAAGTGTAAATTAATGTAGGATTTTTAATGCTAGACACAATTATATATTTGAAAACTCAATCTCCACCGAGTTGGAGGTACAGCCCAGGTCAAGAGGCCACTGTAGCGTACTGTAAGTGGCCAGTTGTCAATTCTCTTTAGTTGTCTATTGTCTCTTTGTATGGGCACACAAACGTACGTACATGTAGATATCTCCACTCAGGAATGAGGTAGAATAGAAACTCACAATGCGCTTTCTGTATATATATTGTTGTACAGCGCAGTGCTAAGGAGTGACTAGGTGAGGAGTAGCTTGCTCAGAGGTCCTGTAGGGCGAGGAGGTTTCTGAGGAAGCTGGGTGGTGAGGAGCTGTTGAGAGATGTTGCTGGTCCGGTAGCCGAGTGTAGAATGAGTTCTGGTGTTGTTGTTGTTGTTGAGATTGTCGGACCGTAGTCCGACACGGGCCTTTGCCTATAGGCGGCCCGTTTGGTGGTTCCGGCTGGAGCTCCTGGAGCAGCCAGACCGGATTGGGATTGGAGGTTGTCCTACCTGCAGATATGGAAGGATACTGCAGGTTGCAAGTGTGAGCGGACCCCCGATCAGTGGGTGCTTACCACCAACCCCCACTCTGGACGTGGTCAGTTTCGGAGTGGCGCGCCCCCCGAACTGGGGTCCGCACTTGCTGGGAGAGGAGTGCCTGAGGGTGGAAAGAGTGCCCAGAAATGTCGTGGGCAGGGTCTGGCTGGGTTAACTGGGTCAGGGACAGGGTCCACGTTAGGAGGTCCATGACAGCAACAGGGTCCACAAAGGCTGTAGGGGGTACCTGTGGGTCAGAGGTCTTGCTGGTCCAGTAGGTCAGAGTAGAATGGTCTCCATGATGATGATGATAATGGAGATAAAATGGCAATGGTTTACCATGGGAAGGGAGAGAAGAGAAGAGGTAAGGTAGAAGGAAAGCTATGAAACGGGAAGTAAAGTACTAGAGAATAAGAGCAGGTGGGCTATCCACCTAGCAGAGACGATTTGATGGCTGTGGTGAAGGCCGCACTAAGGGGTCGCCTGAGCTCGAGGGAACAGGGGGGGAGGAGGCTAAGCTAGCTAGCAAGGGGATGTTTGTTATTGTGTAGGTTGGAGAGGTCTACTAGGTCCTTGTGTAACTAGTAGAAAACTCTCATCTTTTGTTACTGTTTAGTGTACAATAGTTCTGGCTCTTGAGGGTTATGGAGAAGGCTTTTTGGCCACCAGTTGTGTGATCTTGTGGTGTCCTCTGTTTTAGTCATTATATATTTCGTCTTCCATTACTTCTAGTTTGTGCCATACTGCCTGTGCTTGGCTGTATGTTCTTATGTTCAATGGTAAAATGTTGTATTTTTCGTGAAGCTCTTTAATTTTGGTTGTGTATGGGGGACGTTGTTTGGAGGCTCTGCGGACGGCTTTGTTTTGTGTTGCCTGGAGTTTTAATTGGTTGGTAAGGCTGATCGTGTTTAATGGTATTGGCGGGTATTCAAGATGGGGGCGGACAAGTGCTTTATATAGGTGTAGTTGTATTTTCTCTTTCATTTTGCCGAATCTTCTTAATTTGGTAAGCTGTATTTGGGCTAGTCTATTGCGCTCTGTTATGTGTTTATTTATTCGTTCTTGTTATTGTTAGCCCCAGTATTTTTCCTTCGCTCTGAACGGACCTCTTTCAAGAACCCTTCACTGCCAAGCCAGCCAGCCAGTCTCTTACCGTTAATGACCGGAACGCAAACGACCACCTCACCAACCAACACTTCTACACTTGGGAAGCTCGTTCCTGACAACGCCCTCTCTGTGCCTCCCCACTGATCAGGGGTGACTCCTGATCAGAGGCGGCCCAGATTGGGTGCTCTGCGACGGTTTCCTGTAGCGGACGTCAGCCGCGACCCCACTGGTGTTTCTTGCACCAGTGGCTATTCCTCCTTCTATTTCGCTCTGGCCTGGGGACCTGCATCCTAGAGGTATATTCGTCCTTGGGTCCTCCCTGTAAATGTTCACCTCCCTCCCAGGAGTTTGTGAACAAGAGAGGGAGAAGGAGCAGAACCATCCCTCCGCCGAGCCTTCCTGGGTAACCGTGATCGTGCGGGTCCACCCGGGAAGGGGGTCGCATATCCTGCACCCCCCCCCCCAAGTAGGTACACTAGGGCTCACGCCTATAAGTGAGCAGATTAGATAAACACTAGGGAAGTAGGCTCCCCTGACGGGGCTCTGGGAGAGATACACGGGAACCACCTTTCGACCACAAAAGGCGGTGGGAGGTGTTGTAATTCCTGTGGTAGGTTAACTCACCCAGACTAGGTAGGCTACCTATCGTATTTCAAAAGGTGGCTTGTCCACCTTGCCCCCTCTACAATGAGGGCACATAGGGTAAGGATACGCTCCCTTGATGGGGATGTAACCGAACCACGGAAGAGCTCACTAGCCGAACTGCTCGGCGCAAAACTACTAATAAAGATCACGAGCCTTATTACAACCAAGGATTCATTCATCGCCCTCTGCCTGACAGAAGAAGACGTTGACTCCCTACTGTCGAACGACAGCATAAAGGAATTGAAGAAGCAGCGATTCGAAGTAGTAATCCCACCACAACTAAGAGCCAGGAAGACTGTAGTAGTTAAAAGACTGGACAAGACCATCACAGGAGAATCGAGCGAACAACAATTGAAACGTGACCTGGAACAAAGAAATCAATGGGCCAAGGTAAAGGAGGTAGTTAAACTACCTAAACTACCATCTATGCTGAAAATTTGGTTTCAGGACAT